AGACCAGCTCGGGTGCTGGGCCTCTGCTCCTGGCCTGGCCCCGCTGTCCTCCGACTCCTTTCCCTCTCTCACTTCCTCTTCCTGCCCTCTCTTCCCGCCCTGCCTTCTTGGCTGGTCTTTTCCTCTCCAGTGGCTGATAACTTTGCCGAAGACAGGAAAAAGAAAGGCCTGTGTCGAGGTGGGGGGTGCAAGTGTGGCTGCGGGCTATGTCAGGAGGAGTGAGGGCATCTGTGTGGGGGACGCGGGGGACACGCATCTGGCCCACAAGAGGGGATGTGTGGGGGTCCCTCTTTTGTGGGTGGGTGTGTGAACCCTGAGTGTGATGTCTGCCTATGAAAGTGAGTTCTGCGGGCTGAGGCTGTAGGGCGCGTTGGGCACTGTAGGGGTCGGAAGTCGGGGAGCACCGTGGACGCTGGGACTCCCTCGGCCCTGAGCAGATGGACCCCTCTTCCCTCTCCTCTACCGCTCTGAGGCCATCAGACCTTTCCGAGTGGAGCCTCTAACAGGAAACCCGAGGCTCCAGGCCAGGAGAGTACACTGGCCTCTCCTCCAATCACAGTCAGGACTGACTTTCCAAAGCTGACCACAGGCTGGACCAGGGAAGTCCCAGCCCAGAGGAGCAGGGAGCAGAGGCGGTAGCGGACCAGCTTGGAGGGAGACTCAGGGTGGTAGGGTCTGCCTGTGGGTCTGCCCGGGAGAGGGCAGGGCCGGGCTGAGACCTCTCTCACCTCCGGGAGGATGGGGCGCAAATCCAGCTCGCCGCTGCCCATGGACACAGGGAGAGAGGCTGGAGCCCGGAAGACCCCACGCCCAGGGGCTGTGGGCGGGGCCCGGTCAGGCCCTGTGCGCCACTGCGACCAGGCTGGGAATTTCCCCCATGTCACTATGCCCTTCTCCTCTCACGGTGCCCTGGAAACCGGAGAGCAACAGGCAGGCCGGGGACATAGGGATGAGGAAACGGGAAAGAGCCTGGACGCAGAGTTCACCACCATGCAGCCCGGCTCCTCAGAGAGCCCAGCTGGCTGGCTGCCCCAGCGGTGGGCTTGGGTCCTATGGCAAAGATGACCTCCTGGGGTTAATTGCTTCCCTCTCCAAGACTGAGCCCCGCCGGGGAATGTGGCAGTTCCAGCCTTCCAGGCCCTAGTGAGGAAACAGGCACAGCTGACTCCCGCGCAGGCCTTGTCTCCCGGGAAAGGGGCAGGATGTGGGTATAAAGGGCTACTTTTGCCTTAAGATGCTGAATGAGAAGAAGTCACAGATATGATATGAGATTGGTAGGGAGAATTTAAGCTTTCTTAAGCCGAGGGAGGGAAGCTGATTTATGTATTTCTTACATTAAGTAAATCACGGTTACCTGGCACCACTTCAGTCCGTATCATGGGTGTGATACACAGTCTCACTTAACTATCGCCCTCCTCTGTGAGACACCCAACACCCAACACACCCAACACCAGAAAGCGCCTAGCACCCACTGCAGGGTTTACATTCTTGGGGTTGTCTTGGGCCATGGCTCTGAGGCCGAGACCCTGAAGCGTTGTCTTCCAGGTTCATTAGTTGCCCCCCAGTTCCATTCACCCCAGGCCAGGCCCCGTTACCCCCATTCCCGATGGGATGAGGTGTTTGCCAGACCGGCTCAAACAACAACAGCAACGACATACAGGGGCTTCTACCTCCCTCTCAGCGCTTGGCTAGCGCTGTCAGTTATGGGTGGATTGGGGGGTATATTTTTTCTTTCCTTCAAAGGTGTATTTGGAGCCACCTAGGAGAGATGGTGGGGGAGGAGGGAGTGGCAGAATGATTGGGAAACAGCATGCTTTAAAACAAAGCAAAATAAAACAAGGCCGGCAGCTCCCCCCCCCCC